CAGGCTTTGAACTCAGGTCCTCCTGACTCTAGGGCTGGTGCTCTATCCACTGCACCACCTAGCTGCCCCTAAGCACTTCATTTTAAATTCAGCTAAATAAGAAAAAAATACTTTTATGGATTTTCAATATGAATTGTATCCTATTACATATTTGAATTAGAATTCATCGTGCCAGAGTGATAATTCAAGCTGAAAGGAGCCTACCAGTCCTGTTTCTAGTACTTTCATTTTGGATCTGAGCAAACTGGAGTGAAGGGTGGGGCAGTGACTTTGTCAGGGCCACCGTGCCAGCTTGGGGTAGAACCGGGAATCCTGTTGTCTTCGCTTCTGGGTCCAATCCTGGTCAGAGCCGACTGGGGGTCAGGAATTGTTCACCAGGCACTTACTAAGCATCCTCTGTAGGTGCCAGGCGTGGGCAGAGCGAGCAGAGAAGCAGCCTCAAAGTCAAAAACACCTGGGGAGGGGGTCCAGTGCTGCCCTAGAGAACACTGGCTGTGTGGTCCTGGGTAAATCACCTAACCTCTCAGGTGCCAGGTGGACAAAAAGCTGCCAGTTTTCATTGGTAGAAACTCCCTCACCTGGGAGTTCCCTGTAGCAGTGAGATCATGGGCTGGGAATCTAGAGAGAAAAATGGAACAGTGCCTGCCCTCAGAGAGCTTTTATCTGTAGGAGCTCAAATCCTACGGCTCACACTGGCGGTGGGACCACGTCCAATCCCTCTACCTGTCTGAGCCTGAGCCCCCTTGTGCAGAAAATGGCGGCAATCCTATCTGTGGCACCTGCCCAGTCTCTGTACTTGTTATGAGGTCCAAATGAGATGATAATGTTGGCTTCCTTCAATTTCCAAGGCTTCTGCTTGGGATATCGAGTCACTCCCAAAGAGTGGCATGGGCATGCCAAGCCACCCAACACCTGCTTCCTGTTATGCAAACAAAAAGTGTAATTCCAAATACCTCTATTAAAAGACTTATTGAAAACAGTTTGTAGGCTCAAATTGGAATTAATATAATTAAGCCAGCCTTGCATGCCAGGTAATGTTTTATTCAGCAGAATGTTTATGGGGCTTCTGGAAAATCCACCGACAGCATTCATGCATACCGATGAATAAAGGCCTGAGGTTTAGCTGAATTAATTCTCCTGTACCCTGTACCCAGGTTCTGAGACAGAAGTCAGATTTAAGGTTACAGAAGAAAGAAGAGTCCTTTGCTCTGTGACATGGTGCATACCAATTTATCCCAGGACTCTGCTGCTTGCAAGCCTTGGCTTAGCAGGGAGACTCACACAATGGCAAAGGACTGAGACGTGTGTAATTGTATCCTGCTCCCCTGATGATGTCACCTCCAAGGGCCCCTTGATTGCCAGAAAAGTAATTGTTCAGAATTGAAAAATTGTACAAGCCAGAGCCGACTCTGGGTTCTGCCATCAGAGCAATTTAGCCGGGCTGAAAAGATGCTGCCCTTTTTACCAATGCACACGGAGTGATTCAGTGAAGCACGATCGGCTCGTTCAGCGCTCCCGCAGAGAAGAGGGCGCCGTGCTCCACGCAGTCCATTTCATTAAAAACAAAATCTTCCCATCATCGCATCATTTGGCTGGTCCAGCTCGGCTCAATATGGGCTTGTTCCTTTAATGGGATATCACAGTAAGATAATTTCGCAGTCAGACGATGGGTACATTTTTTTCCATGAAAAAATACACCCCTTTATTTCCATCATTGTTCATGACCCCTTTGTTTTTGCATCCTGGGCTTTCGATTGATTACTTCTCACATGCTGATTACTTCTCCCATGCAGCCTCTGTCATTTACTATTTTTACAAGTTAAGTAGAGAGTCATTTTAAAAATAGGAAATGGCAGAGAAGAAAGATTTGAAATGAGGACATTAGGGTTCTGTTCCCATCTCCACCACCAACAAGTTGCCCAATCTTGACCAACTCTTTTCCTCAACTGCGCCATGAGAGGGCTGCATTAGGGGACTGTCCTTCCAGGTCAGTGATATTCTCCATTGACATTTTTGTAATCTAAATCAACGAATGAATGAAATGAATGAGAAAGCATTTCCTGAATGCTTACTAGGTGCCACTCACTTTGCTGAGTACTGAGGTTACAGATAGAAAAAGTAATCCAGTCCTTACCTTTAAGGAGCCCACCCTTACCTCACACAAGAGACTAGTCCTCATTGTTCTTCCCTCCATTGGATAGGTGCCCTGCAACCTAATAGGGAAGATGGCAGAGTCAGTGGCAGGCCAGCCTGTCCCAGTGTGATTGCTGCCAAAACCTTTCCGAAAATCTTGAAATGACCGTATCATTTTTAATTTTAGTTCTTTGAACAAGTGAAACCCTCGTGAGCCAGGGATGCCTGTGACCCAGACATCGGTTATTCCACAGACATATTGCTTCTCTTATCTTGAACCCCCATTCAGAGACGCAGGAAAATCTCTCCCTGACAGCTGGGTTTTTCTAAGCTGGTCATGGAATCGCTGGCTGGAGCGGTGTCCCAGCTCTGCTCAGAGCCCGGTTCCACCCCCCTCCTCTACTCAGCTCTTGCCCAGGTCAGTTGCCCCTGGGGCGACCCACTGTCATTTCCCTCTAGATTTCCTAATCACCTTCAGTTTGGCCCTCTTCTTGGGTGTTTGTTGGAGAAGCTGTGGGGACAACTGAGCGGCACTGCCTCCTCCTCTTCCGCCATCTTGGCTGCTCCCTCGCCAGACACAAAGCTTGGCTTTGCCAGTTACCGACTCTCTGACGCCTCTTTGGGCCTCGGTTTCCTGGTCTGTAAAATGAAGGAATCAGACAAGATGACCTCAGCTCTCCTTTCCAGCTCTAAGTCTATGATCCTATTATCTTAATACTAATGCCTTGCTGACATCCCTCACCTGAGCGCAAGTCCCGTTTCTCCAACTTTTTACTTGAATATTTTGCCTGAAACTCAACTTGCGTGCATGTACACACACGCCCACGCACGCCCACACACACACGCACACACAAGCACACGCTCACGGGCTCCCCTTTCCAGCCCTCCTGTCTTTGTCAATCCATCATCATTTCCCCTATCACCCAGACTAAGAACCTGGGAGACGAGTGTGACTCTTCCTTCACCTCCATCGTTTACAGAGCTGACCTTGGGAAAGTCCCCTAACTTCCCTGAATTCCAGTTGCCTCCTATGTAAAAGGAAGGGGTTGGATGGATGGCCTGGGAGGGCCTTTCCTCCTCCAGGTGTAGCCTCCACAGCCAGTCAGGCACCCAACCCTGTGGATTTTCCCCTCTAATCTCTCCCGTCAACTCTCTGTCCTAGTGCTTGAACCCTCACTTCCTAGGTCACATCGCCTACTCCCCAGTCAGCCTCCTGGACTCTCAAATCTCTGACTGACTCCAGCTCTCAAATCTACACTACAGCACATTACTCAGGAGGCTAACCTTCCTTGAACACAGCTCTCAGCCTGCCAGTCAACAGCCTTCAGAGGCTCTCTATTTCCTGCTGCCTAGAGTCAGAACCCTCTGCCTGGCCTTCCTCACCTGGCCCTCCACCTCTGACCAGACCAGCTCCTTCCCATCACTTCAGATTGACAAAGAAAGTAAAGTTGTGGAGGGGAAGGTAAAGAGTCAGCGTTGGATGGCGGGTTTCAGATTCTGGGAGAGGCAGCCGGTGGACTGAGGGAGGACTAATATGTGTCCAGCTCTCGGAAGTTCCCTCCCAGTTCTGATGCCTGCGTGACTTTGGGAAATGCTTCTGGTCTCTGTGTCTCCCCATTTCCCCATGCGCCCATCCCTCTCACTTTTCTTAGGCTGTGCCTCTTGCTTGGAATGTCCCCTCCTTCCCCTCCATCCCTTACGCCCCAAATCAGTTCTGGTCTGTCTCCTCTCTGGACTCCTCCCTGCTTCCCCCCAGTTTTCACTGGTTTCCCACCGCGCTGGCCATGGAGAGCATAGGATTGCTGGGCATGGCGAGTCACGGACACTGCACGTTGTCGGCCGCCCTCTCATTCTTCATCTTGATGTCTGTGTTGTCTCCCCTGCACTTAGATTGTAAGCTCCTGGAGGGCAGGACTTGGCCTGTCCCTGACTCTGCTTTCCCTCCCTCAGTGTTTTCTTCTGTCCTTCCCAAAGGGGCGAGCGCAGCACTGTCCTGTGGCAGGGGGATTCTAAAAGGACAGCTTCTATGTAGCGGGACCAGAATTTAGACCACAGAGACTTAAAGGCCAGACTGGCCAAGACTGGAGGCAGTGGGGATAGCCCACCTCCAGGGGAAGCAGGCGTTGCTCAGCGCAGTGCCCGGTATCTGGTAGGGCTTCGTAAAGCCTCGTGGTTGGCATAGGACTGCAGCCAGAGAATTGTCACAGCTGAGTCGGGGAGAGAGCAGGAGTCTGAGAGCGTGGCTGGACAGCAGACTGCGGCTGGCCTTCTGGCCCATAGGACCCTGCTGCCCATGAGCTGCCCCTGACCGCTTCACTGGCCAGCGTTCTGGGCAGCGCTAAGGTGACGAGATGCAAAGAAGGCTCTGATCACCTTTCGCCATTGGGACAGAGCGACTCCTCACCAGGGGGTTCCGTGTTCCAGTGAAGTCACGGGTTCGGACCCTGTCTGTGTCCCCATACGCTGAGGCTCTGTGACCCGGTGAAAGGCTCTTCCTCTGTCTGTGCTCACTCCCTTCCAGTCTAAGGTCAGGGATCCCACAGTGTCTCACCCTTGACCCCTCTTTGGCTCAACTCCTTCCTGAAATCTAAGGCCTGGGAAATGGAGCTGCCCCAAAATGGTGCCTAGCTCCTCACTGTGTGGGACAGTCATGCAGGTGGGAGAGGAAGGGTGAGGGGGCCTGTTTGTGTCAGGGCATGGCTCCAGCTCTTCCGTGCCCTGGAACCCTTGCCTCAATACCCAAACCCGAGAGTGCTACAGTAAATGGGAGCTGACATTTTTATGCCTGTTTAGTTCATCGGGGTAAAAATACGTGGTGTAAAAACGTGTTTCAGCCTCACCTGGTAAGTAGTCACTAATTTCTAGTCTTTGTCCAGAACAGGATTTCTCAGACTTGGGGTGCAGTAGAAAGGAGGCTGCATTTGAAGGGAGAGGTCCTGGGTTCAAATCCTTGCTACTTTCTGCCTGTGGAGTCCTAGGCAAGTTCTTTAAGCTCCTTAGGCCTCTGTTTTTTGTTGTTGTTCAGATGGTTCAATCATGTCCCACTATCTGTGCCTCCATCTGGGGTTTTCTTGGCAAAGATACTGGAGTGGTTTCCCATTGCCTTCTCCAGCTCATTTTACAGATAAGGAAACTAAGGAAAGAAGGTGAAATGATTTGCCCAGGGTCACACAGTTAGTAACTGTCTGAGGTCAGATTTGAACTCAGATATTCTTGACCCCAGGCCTGGTGCTCCATCTACTGTGCCACCCAGCTTCTGTGATCCTATGATTATTCCATAGAGAATTTAAAAAATAAATTAAGACCGTCTGATCGAGAGTCCCCTAGACTATTCCTATGACAGAAAACCAAGCTGGAGGCCTCCACGGCTCCTTCACTCCTGTTTTTTGTCCTTGTTTTCAGAGACATTTCGGTTCATTTCCAAACGACATTACGGCTTCCCCTTCAGCCTCACGTTTTTCCTGAATGGGATGCAGCTGGACAGGCTCAGCTCGTGCTGCGAGTTTAAGCATCGCCGAGGGTCCAGGCTCGGAGGCAAGAACGGATACTTTGGGTTTGTCGACATCGATGGAGCTTCTCCGTGCTACAAGTACGGAAGACAGAGGTCGAGGGGCGGGGGGAGGGAGTGGGCGACGTTTTCTCCCAATGACTTGTTTGGTGCCTGTGTTTATCAATGCCCCCTTTTCTGCGTCCTCAGATTTATGGAGATACACGACCTATGTTATCACTATGTCGGCCATATTACATACAATATGCATCCAGCCCCTCTACCACTGAGCCCTCCCTTCTAGCAAATTAAAAAAAGGATTCAGGAACCCAAAGAGCCTTAGCGTCCAGCTGCAGCCCACCCTTCTTGGCTCATTGTCTGTTAATTCCCTCCACAAACTTGGTTCAAGCAAAAAAAACTAGCTTCTGCATCCTGCCTCAGTGGGAAATTCCATCTCCTGCCTCAGCTGCCCCTGTGCCTGAAATGCCCTCCCTCGGTGCCTCTTGGAATCCATGACTTACTTCATTCTCGCCTCCCCTCTAGTGCTCCCTGCTCCTGGAGGCCAACCCCAGCCTCTCCCCCAGGTTCTAGGGCTTCTCAGAATTGCTCTGGATTTAATTAGTCTCTACTGGGTGTCTACTTATTGATTTGCATGCTCTTTTCCCCAGTTCAATGGGAGCTCCCTGAGGGCAGAGATGAGTTTGCTTTTTGTCTGGCTATCTCTGATGCCTAACAATGTCACATGCATCGTAGAGACTTAATGAATGCTTGGTTACTGAATGAACGAATGAATGGTAATGAATGAAGGAAAGCAACACTCTGCACTTCTCTCTTGAGTCCCGGGGGTGAGGTGGGGTGGGGGAGGGCATGCATTAGTCTTTACTGTCCAGAATCAAGAGTGTTCCTCGCAGCTAGTTTGAGTTCACCTGCCTTTTAATATTGTTGCCTTTGGATTCTTGTAGTGTTTGCATCTTCTCTCGGTTCTTGTAAATAAAAATAGAAGAATCCTGCCCAGAACCCCTTCATAAAGCAGGCGAGTGCCCCGATTGTATGAGTTTGCTCAGTCTGGATTTTCATAGATTGAGGTTTACTTTACAATCCAGAGAGGGGCAGTGACTTCTCCAAGGCCACATGATTGGCAATGTAGAACTCTAATGCATCATATGTGATATGAGTTGGCTCACGAATTAAGGTGTTATGCTGTCCTGCTTTCTTTGCTATGACTTACTTCCCACTCCCAATCCATATTTAAAAGATTGAAGGGATAGGGGAAGAGGGAGGAGAGAGGAATATCTACCCAATTATCCTGGAAACTTTTGTTGAATTTAATTAGTTCTTTAGAGTCAGTGTACTAGATTAGATGGAAGGCAAACCTTTGAGTTAGGAAGACCTGAGTTCAAGGTCTAGCCACCTTTGACACTTCGCTACCTTTGTCAAGTCAACTGGATGAGTCACTCACCTCAGTTACCTTATCTATAAATAGAGGGGTTCCACTCGATGGACCCTGAGGTCTCTTCCACTCTATAACCTTGTGATCTATTGGCCTCCCTGGTCCACAGTCTCCTCGTCTACTCAACGAAGGCTTAGACAAGATGGCCTCTGGAGTCTCTGGCCTGTGAACCTATGACCTGGAATTCTACTCCTGACCTATCCTAGCATGGTGACCCCAGCAAATCACTTGGGCTCTTGGGGCCCCTGGAAATTTGCCAAAACTTTAAGTTGCTGAGCAGTGGTTGACTTGCAGTGGCAGAGGGAGCGTCCTCCCCTGGGAGTTCTCAGGGCAAATGAAATTGCAGACCCAACCCTAACATGGCCGACTGGGAGAGTCGTCAATGTGTGTTGATGTTGCCTGTGTTTAATGCTACTCTGACTCTTGGAGCCCTGGGCTCAAGCTTTGATCTCTGGCCCTGGCTCCCTGGCCTGGTGGTCTGGACAGAAACCCTCATTCTCTACACTCTTCAGGTTCTGCAAGAGCAAGCAGGATGATACACAACATAATTTTGACAGCTCCAAAGTGGCAGGCTGTATTGACCCTGAGCACAGTTTTAAATTCTAGCTGTCAGTTCATGAGGTTCCAAGTCAAGAGTTTACAAGTGAATGAATGAGTGAGTGAATGGATGGAAGGGTGAACACAGCATGGTTGGCAGTCCCTCTTCTCAAGGAGCTACTGAGTCTCATTGGGAGACACAGTTCTAGGACTCATGGAAAGGTCCAGAAACCCTAGGGGTGAAGCAGCGAGGTGCATGGCAAGGTCAGGGCTCTGAAGGTTATGGCACATACAACACTGTTGTCCTTGGGCAAGTCAAATATTATTTACAGGGTTGTTAATGAGTAGTAACATGATGCTTCCAAAGTTACCCTACATAAGCCATGTTACATACAGACTCACAGAATCAAAATCTCAGATTTTAAAGGAAGTTCAGAGCCCATCTCTAGCTCAGCCCATCCTGAATGACGCCCCCCTCTACTATGCCACACTCTCTGTGTTTGTAATGTTCTGTAAAGGGGAGCGCACCCCCTGTCTCCCAAGATGGCCCATCTGTCTCCTGGGTAGCTTGACTTGTTAGGAAGTCTCTTCCTTGACATCAAGCAAAGTTTGCCTCTTTGCAACATGTCAGTTGACCCTGATTCTGTCTCTTGCAGCCAAGAGGAATGTGTGACATATCTGTTCCCTCTTCTATATCTAGGCTTCTGCCATTTGACTTTGAGCTTCTTGAGAGCAGAGACTGGTGTTTGCGTTCCTTGGTATCCCCAGGGCCTAGGGCAGTGCCTAGCACGTAGTGGGTGCTTAATAATGCTTGTTGACTGGCCTCTATGTGATAATCCATCAAATTCTTGAAGATCAATTGGTCAGCAAGTATTTATTGAGTGCCTACTGTGGTCTAGGTACTGTTTGAGGTCTTTGGGATACAAGTAAAAGAGTAGAATGATCCTTACTTGCAAAGAGTTTGTGTATCTCCCCAAAGTCTTCCCTCCATGCTGATAAATATCCCTAGATCCTTCAGCCCTATATGCCATGATCTCAAAGTCTTTTACCATCCTGGCTGTCCTCTTCTGGACATTCTGTAGCTTATCAATGTCCTTCTAAAGCTGAGATTCTCAGAACCAAACACTAGAACTCAAACATGGTTGGACCAGGTATGAAAAAGACTGTATAGGATGCCCTTCCTTATTTCAAAGTCACACTTTTCTTGCAATATACAAAAGAAAACAAAAATCCTCAATATTTTTTTCAAACATGCTTTTCCATGTTTCTCTTTCTTGTACTCATGAAGGTGATGTTTCGAATGAATGCAAGTGCAAGGCTTTAAATGAATACTTATAATATTTTGATGTTGGATTCAACCCAATACTGTAAGGTTTCAAAACCTTTTTTTTTTTAAATCATGACTCTTATCCACTGTGTTACCTATCCCTCCCTCCTTTATGTCATACACAGAGTTGGAAAACAGGACGTGTCCACCATGCTAGTTCTGAGTATTGTCTCTGGGTTCTTAGTTGTCAGTGTCTAAATGGCCAGCGTTCACTTTCTTGATGATAAATAAGTGGCTTTGACATGACAAACTAATGTTGTAGAACGCTGTGCACAGTAAGTGCTTGTTGACTGAATACGCCCTCTCCTCTGATCCTCACAACAACTCGGGGAGGTGGGTAGCTCTTATCCCCATCGTACAGAGGAGGAAGCTCATTCTGAGCAAGGGTAGGTGATGTGTCCAGGTCATGCAGGCATATGGACCAAAAGCATGTCTTAAAGCTAGGTCTTCCTGGCCTCAAGTCACCTAAAGTCTTGCAAAGTGCTTGGTATTTATTATCTGAATTTTTCCTCCCAACAACTCTGTGGGATCAGTACTCCAGGCACGTTCCAGAGGACAAATCTGAACTGAAGCCCAAGGTTCAGAATTTCCCAGGGTCACTCAGCTAGTGAGTTTCTGATGGCAGGATTTGAACCCAGGTCTTCCTCAACTCCCAAGTCCGATCCTGCGTCTCATGCTGTTTGTCAGTTAAGCATGGGCAGTCTTTGAAGAAGGCACCAGTTGTTTTAAGAACCTGTTGAAAAATCTGGGAAGGAAATTCATTACAGAATCAACTAGAATGCAGCTCATTTCTAGCTTTAGAAACCCAAATCAGCTCCTTGAAGAATGCCCTGAAACAGGATCATAGCTGGTCAGACTAAAGCACGGTTGTGTGCCCACTCTGTGTGCCCAATTCCCTCAAGCAGATGGGCAATAAAGAGTCTGTGTGTGGAGTGTATGGAAGCTGAGCTCTCTGCTGTCCTGATGCAAAGCTCTAAGCAGGAGTATGTGGTGGCGCCATTGCAGAGGGAAGGACGCTGATAGAATGTTCTTCTCCGGCAGTGTGACCTTGGCCAAGTCTCTTCTTCTCTTGGCCTAAGGATGCCCTCTCCCCTGTAAAATGGGGAGTTGGATCCGCTGTCTCTCATCTCCCTTATTCCAGCTCCAATTCTTTGTGCTCTTTGTGAAAAGGCAGTGCAGATTCATAATTTGCCTGAAGTCCGTAATCTTTTTGCTTCCAAGAACCCATTGCACTAAGCACATAACATTATATCCGTTCACAAGAACCTTGCTGAGGTATAGAGGGAGGAAATCATGTTAGTCCCACTTTAGAGACATAGGTTAAGAGGGTAAGTGATACGTGCCTAATGGGCTCGCACGTTCCATTACTGGTTATGAGGTGATGACTTCCCTGATGTCTAGACAGCCTGCTCCCACTGGGAGTGAATAAACTAGAAAATAGGTAGATGGGTATATTTCAGAACCATAGAGTAGGAGCTAGGAGTGATACGGAGTCCATTTATTAAGAGGCAGAAGGGACCTCACTATCATCAAAGTCCACTTGAGAAACCCGAGGCCCTGAAGTTATATGGGGGGGGGAGCAGATTAGAGATTTGAACCCATGTCTTTCAGGTCCGTCTCCAGCCTTTTCCCCGAGCCAACCTGCTTCCCAGTTAGCTCATAGAATAATAGGATCTGTACTTGAGAGCTGGGTGGGACCTTAAAAGATAACTAAGGCCATTCGATCATCTTTCAGGCAAGGCTTCTGAGGCTCAGAGGGGGCCCTTGTCCAAGGCGACACAATTAATCAGTCAGCACAAGAGAGATCATTTAGCCCCAGGGGCTTTGATTCCAGATCCAATTCTGAATTCACCATACAGGCAATACCACAGTGCCTCTCAGAGAGCATGTAGGTCTCACAGACTATTTTTAAGCATGATATTAAGGTTCTGATCCTTTTGGGACGTTATTCCTTGTTACCTACTAGACGTGATGCAGCTTCCCTACAGGTAGGCGTCTTCATCCAGTACGATGAGGATGAAGAAAAGGCTTCTGGGAGAGAGCACCAGATACCAGACACGCCTCGCACTGCAGGCCTTGTGGCCATCACTGCACGCGTGTCTTGGGTGGGTGCTCTGGTTGGACGATGAGCCTCAAGTCTAGGGTCAGGGCTCAGTTACTCTGTCGTCAAGCAATTTAATCTGAGGGAGTATTGTTAAGGCCACCAGAGCTGCTTCCTTTATGGCAGAGAATTCTTGCCCAAACCCTCCTTTGTGCCCAAGAGCTCGAGCTACTTCCTGCACCTAGCGATTGTATTACTTTCCAAGGGACACGAACAGCACAGAAGAACAAAACAGAAAGAAGTATCAGGTAATCAGAAATCCACCAGGTAACCAGACTCCTCAGCTCTCTGTGACTGTCATGCCCAGCCCCACAGGGACTCTTGCTCTATTGTTCAGACCCTGAGCTTAGTGGTGATTGGATGAAAGCCACCTGAGGAGCGCAGTCCCAAAGCCTAGGTGCTCCTGACTTTTCTGTGTTGCCATGGAGATGGTCTCATAGAGAGGAGGAAGCTGATCCCTGAGGGCTTCTGCTCTCACAGTTCAAACTGCACTGGCTCTGTGATTGTACACAACCCATACTCTGCTTCTGGGAAATGGGATGTGTAGTAGCAGCAGAGATTGCACAGTGCTTTCCAACTCCGAAAAATACAATTAGTTGGAATCTGTGACTCAGCAGTTGGGTATATAATGATTAGGGAGTTGGACTTGTAGTCATGAGGACCTGAGTTTGAATCCTGCCTCAGACATTTCCTAACTGGGTGACCTTTGGGTGAGTCACCTAACCTCTTTGGACCTCAGTTTCCCTATTGCTAAAATGAAAGAGTTGTACTTGTTGGTGTCTCTGGTCCCATTCAGATCTACACCTCTGGTCCTATAAGCCAATGTTGTTTTGAAAAGTTCTCTATTCTTTTATAAGATAATTTTGGTCATTAAGAAGTTATTAACATATGTTTCTAGTACTGATATTTGAAAGTTCATTTTAAAATGAAATTTTATTTTTCTAATTAACAAAAAATTAACTTCCTCTTCTTATCTCCAAACACTGCCATTTGGAAAACAAACAAGCAGACAGAAAAACACAAACCTTGTCACATGTATACATAGTCAAGCAAAACAAATTCCTCATTGGCCATGTCTTCTTCTTGCTTCAGTTTAAATCTGCTAATACATTTTTAAAAAGTTTTTTTGACACCTTCCTAACATATGATAAGGGAAAGTGACTGAAGAAAGAAGCAAACATTGGGGATCCCTAGTGTTGAGTCTCAATGTCACAGTGGACTTTCTGTTCCTCTTCCAAGGTGCATCATTTCAATGGGACTTGATAAAAAGCCGCTACCGCCTCCAAAAAGAGAGAAAGAGATAATGGAGGTCAATGAAGGCCCTGTCAAAGAGGAGGACTTCACCAAACTGAGGAAAAGTTTTAACGAAGAAGTGGAGAATGTAAGGCCATTGCCACCAACTTGTTCAGCTCCAGAAGATGTCAAGAAAGTTGAAGAGTGCGTTGAAGAAGGTGTGGGAAGAGAAGAGGAGACGGGACCAGATGCTGCTGAAAATAACCAAGAAGCCTCATTTAAAGACGGTAAGGTATAATATGGCCTTCCAGATTTTTGAGGGTCCAAACTTCTTCACCTTTGAAAATAGTAACAGTTCAATATAAAACTTCCCTAGCTCTAAGGGGCAGACTGTGACAGCATCTGCTGATATTTGAAGGTCTGTTATGTAGATTTATTTTGTGTAATTCAAGAAGGGGGACTGAGTGCTACTAATGGATGTTATACTGGAACTGATCCCAGGTCAATATAGGAAAAGACTTTATAACATTTATAGGACCCAACCATGGAATGGGTCTATTCGGTAGCAATCACTCAATAAGCATTTATTAATCACCTGCTATGTGCCAGGCACTGTGCTAAGCCTGGAGGATACAAGTATGAAAAAGAAAGACATCCTTGCCTCAAGGCACTTGTAATCTAAGAGGGGAAGATGATGCACAAAAAGAAGCTAAAGGAGGGCTGTTGAGGGCCTGATGGAGTCCAGTCCAAGGGCTGTAGCCATAGGAAATGAAGACATGGCTAGACTGGGAGTCTTCTTGAGATGGAGGCTTTTAAGGGAGTTCTTTGGGCTACTTTCCTGCCATCCATCAGAGAGTCAGAGGGCACTGCTGAGGTGTGTGTATCAAAGCTGATACAGTCTCATAGGGTGATAAGTTTACTGATTTTAAGGTTTCCTGGGGATATGATGGATTCTACTCTAAGGAACATGAGCTGGTAGGGAAAAAATAAAATTATGGTATAGTCTTAGAGAGGGGTGCTAGATTCATTACAACATAGTCTTGGAGAAGGGTGCTAGATTCACTGCAAAATAGTCTTGGAGAAGGGTGCTAGATTCATCACGGCATTGTCTTGGAGAAGGGTGCTAGATTCATCACAACATAGTCTTGAAGAAGGGTGCTAGATTCATTACAACATAGTATTAGAGAAAGGTGCTAGATTCATTGCAACA